AGTCTTGCAAATGTAGGTTTCATGTATGCGAATGTGACCTTTGTAAATATAAATTCTACACATGCATTTATGACTCTTTTGCTTCCATTCTTAACTTCATGAGTTAGACTTGCAAATGTATGTTCCATGTATGCGAATGTGACCTTGCGCATATAGATTCCACATATGCAACTATGCTCCTTTTCATCTCTAATTATCTCTTTCCATAAGTCCATATGTATATTCCACATTTGCGAATATGAAGATGATGTGTGCAACTGTGGTTTTGCTTCATTCTCTTGTCTTTTAGCCCCTTTCCTTCTTTTTCATAATTTCTTCTTCCTACAAGATTTGTTAGAAAATATGCGAGGATAGGATATCATTATTCATATTTTATTTTAAAAACTTATTTTTTACATATGAAATTACATGAATAATTTATATCCATTAGAAAACATAAGATAATTTTTTGAAAATGTGTTCCAATTAAAAAATAGAATGATAAAACTTATTTGAATTTGAGATAAAAAAAATTCTTTCTTGAAATGATAAGAAAAATCATATTTCGAAATATGAGTAATAGAGTTAAATTTACAATTGAAATAATTTTTTATTTTTATCTGTATTATAGTAAAATGAGTGTGGCAGAAATAGATATTAAATTAGACAAGCTAATGAAAAGCCACATAAAAATGTAATAATATTATGTATTGAATAATATAATAGCAAAAATAAGGAACAAATATAGAAAAAATCAAAAATTTCATCATAAAGAAAAAGGATAAGACTTATTTAAATTTGAGACGAGAAAGTTATTATTCATATAATAAAAAAGATTATATCGTGGATAAGACTAAAATCTTAAGTCTAATAGATAAAATAAAAAATAAAAAATATTAAAAATGGATTAGAAATAATGTGAGAATATTTATACCAAAATTAGTTTAGAAATTAAAATAAAATAAATATACAATAGTTAAAAAATATTATTTATAATTTTAAACAATTTAAGAATTTTGAGAAATATTTTAAAATAAAATAAATATTTATTTTAAGGCTAAAAATTTATATATCTATCTATATTATTTTAAAGGATAGTAATGAATAATAATATTAAATACAATGGCAAGTTAATTAAAAGGCATATGAAAATGTGATAATACCATATATGATAACATAATAGCTAAAGCAAGAAAAATAATTAAAAACTTAATAGAAATGAAAGGGAAAGACTATTTAAACTTGAGATAAGAAAGTTCTTAAAATTACAATGAGAATGCTCCAACTATGGATAGGACCACCAAAAATTTAAGTCTTACTAGATAAAGATTTAAAATTTTAAAAATATAAAATAAATTTCTAATGTAGGTAATTTTATTAACGAAAATTAAAAGTCAAATTTTGTATCTTGAAACTAAAAAAGAAAGAAAATCTATTGCATGTAATATTAAAAATAAATATAAGAAAACTCAATTGATTTGGAACATAATAATCAAAGAATTCGTATATTAATATTTTAGACTAACTCAAAGATATAATTTAAATTATTTTTATTACAGGTAAAATATTAATATAAAAAATTAATTAAAATTTTATAGTAGGGAAGAGACAGTATAAAGATAAAATAGAGATGGTGTGAGACTACTTATACTTTAATTTAATTTAAAATAAAATAAATTAAATAATTAAATAATGCTCAAAAATATTATTGATAGATTTAGATTGTAAAAGAGTTCTGAGTAAGTGGATAAAAGCGTAAAATACATAAATTTCAAGAATAAATAAACTAGATTTATCGATGATTATTAAAAGGATAATAAGAAAGAAATTAAGTCGATTGGTAAGCTAATAAAAGATCACATGAAAGTACAATAATGTTAAATAATATTCTGCCCTTTTTAATTTGGGGAATCTAGATCAACAGAAATTATAATTACACCAACAATACCAATCTACACCCATCATTGAAATTCTTTTTTAATCATGCACTAGAATTTCACTTCATGACATCCAGAAACACTCCCTTACAGACCAGCAAAACCATTCAAATTAATTGGCATGCCCTACAAAAAGGATGGACAAAGCTTAATATAGATTGAGCATCCGATAATGCAAAAGGAGGTATAAGAGGAGTGTTTAGGGACAGTACGGGAAAATGGATTTTAGGCTTCCACAAATACTGTAATACTCTATTTCCGTTACACATTGAATTGCAGGCTCTCCAAGAAGGGCTACAGTTGGCTTCAAGGTTTGATCTATACCCATTGGAAGTGGAAACAGACTCAACAGAAGTGATCAACGCTATTAACAATGGCCATACAATACTAGCTAATTTGATCTACTCTTGCAGGTCGTTAATGCACCAGGAGAGGCAATATTAGCCAAGAAAGCAACAACAACAACAACCCAATATAATCCCACTAGTGAGGTCTGGAGAGAGTAGTGTGTACGCAGACCTTACCCCTACCCTGAGGTAGAGAGGCTGTTTCCGATAGACCCTCGGCTCCCTCCCTCCAAGAACTCCCCACCACCTTGCTCTTGGGGTGACTCGAACTCACAACCCCTTGGTTGGAAGTAGAGGGTACTTACCACTAGAGCAACCCACAAACACTGAGCCAAGAAAGCAAAAAAATTTAAAAAAAACAATCAATATAATCCTGGAAGAACAAAACTGTTTGCTCAACCGCCGATTTTTGTGCAACAACTTCTAACCAACGACATGAGCGGGAAATGCAACTCGTCAAAACAACTACTTATCTTTTTATGTAATATGCTTCGAACTCTAGGAAATCAAAATATTGTGAGTGACAATAGTTGTTTGTCTGAGGGGATACACAGCCCCAATGTCACTTTGCCATGTAATATGCAAAACTCTATCTAGTACGTAATATATAAATCCTTTTTACTACTCAAAAAAAAATGTTAAATAATATAATAACTATAAGCAAAGAACAAAAAAATTGGGTAAAAATTTAAAAGAATGGGCCTTATTTGAGTTTGAGATGAAAAATAAAGTGATAGCAAGAATTTTATTAAAATAGTATCATCTAATATGCTCAAACAAGATAAATTATTTAGTATTTTTTAATATTAATAACGAAATGAAATACAAGTGCTAAGATTAAGGGGTTGAATTATTATAAATATAGAAAAAGAAACCAGGTTATCTACTATGAGATTTGCGAAATAGTTTCATGTTCTGCTTCTTAATTGATATATAATGATTATCTATAATTTTTATCTGGAAATTTTATATTTTAAGGTTATTTATACATAATTCAAATCGCAATTTAATATGGTTTGTGTCCGCGCATCGCGTGGGTACCAATACTAGTTTTATTAAGAAGCCCTAAATACATCGTTTAGCAGTGTATATGGTAAAAGTTTCACGAGGCGTCCTATTTGATCACACCCATTTAATATGTACTTTTTTTATATTTTAAAGTTTAACTGATACCAAATTTTGGGTAACTTCAAATACATTTTTTCTCTTCTTCTTTGCTGCTAATTTCTTCTTCTTTGCATTCATGTCCTATGTATCTAGGAGCTTCGCTGCTTCTTTTTCTTTTTTGTACTCATGTTCCATGTATCCGGTGGTTATTTGGTTTCTTCTTCATCTTCTTCTAAGTTGCTAAATTGATTTGTTGGATTTATTATTGTTTTGACAATTTGATAATTTAGGTTTATTTTTTATGATATTGAAAGTTATGTTTCAAATTTGAGCTTATTTGGGCGTATCATATGTTGAATTTTTGAAATTCAAAGAACAAATTTATGCTTCATGACTTAATAATTGATTTATGAAGTTGCACTGAAGAGATAAAAACTACTTAAGATTTAATTTTTCTGAAGTTGTATTGAAAAGATGAACTTAAGATCCGATTTCTGAAGTTGCATTGAGAGATAAAACTACATAAGATCTAATTTTTTGAAGTTACATTGGAAAGATAGAAGAGCTTTAGATTCGATTTTGAAGTTGTATTGAAGAGATATAACTATTTAAGATCCGATTTTTCTGAAGTTGCATTAGAAAGATAAGAACTTCATATGCGATTCTAAAGTTGCATTGAAAAAATAGAAGGATTCAGATCCGAGTGAGTATATTTTGTAAAATTTTGTGCATCGCGAGTATAACTTCACTTTGGGCTTCGTTGATGGGCTAGAAATAGGGAAACTACTAACTATGTCCATTTATAAGTAGCTTATTATGAAAATTGGTCAATCTATAAAATATTACTAATACTAGCCAACTATTACCAATATTAGTCAATTAGCTATTTATAACCAAAAAAAAGGTCAAAATTTTGCTTTCTTTTGAGTGAGTATTAATAGAATAGATTGGGTACATTTTAAGGAATTTGAATCTCAGTTTTGGGATGATTTTGTGGAGTTTTGATATGGTTTGAATTGAAAATTTGAAGTATAATATGAACATGAAAAAAATAATACGTGTATCACACTGTGTATCACATATGTATCATATTTGTATTAAATGTGTAACACATGTATATTCATGTATACCTGTGTGTGAGATACATGCGTGATACATGTTTGATACATGTGTGTAGAAGATTTTTTTAAACTCCATGTTAACTACAAATTTTGATACCAAATCAGTCCAAATCACCTCCAATCTTCCTCAAATTTTATATATTGATTCGTCTATATGTTTTCAATGAATTTTAACCATACCCATTAAAAAAAGTTTCTTTTTGCTTAAATTTTTGGAATCTTATATATATATATATATATATATATATATATATATATATATATATATATATATATTATCATCTTATTTGCTAATTTAATCATGAATTTTTCTTTTCGTCTTGCATCTAATATTGCTAATCACGCTTAAAAATATAAAAGTAGATTTTTGCGTGTAATTTTTGGAGAGAAAAAATCTTATATATTTGGATTTTTAATTTTTATGTATTCGGTTAGTTTTGGTATATTTATAACTAATGGGTAGAGGCTGGTAAGTTGAAACTTACATTTATGTAAGATTCCCCTGTGAAGTACTCCAGTTGATCAAAATAATCCAATTGTTGAGCCCAAACAAAAGAGATTTAACTCATCCAACTACAGTCCGCTCTTCAGTATCCACCATTTGTTCTTCTTCACCTTCTTCATCTTCTTGGTGTTATTGCCATGGCCACATTTAACATCTCATATCTCTCAAAACCCAATTCGTCTCTTCCCATTTTCTCCAATTTTTCTTCCCAAAATACCCCTTCATTTTCCTCTTATTCTATTCCCAAACCCTCCTTCCTTTTCCCTTCGATTACCCTCCGACCCAATAGCAGAACCAGAACTCGCCACGTAAGCATCGTCGTTTCAGCTGTAAAAAAGCTCTCTGAGACAGACCCTTTAACCGTGCCTCTAGAACCTGTCGAAATTTCTGGAAGCTTCCCGAAGGAATCTGGTGTGTATGCGGTGTATGATAGTAATGGTGTTCTGCAATTTGTTGGCATATCGCGAAACATTGCCGCCAGTGTTCTTTCTCATAAGAATACTGTACCCCAACTCTGCTCTTCCGTAAAGGTAACAACTTTGCTTATTCACATGTATAAGATTTAAAATACTCCCTCCGTCCGAATTATGTGACACTTCCTTTTTTAGTTTGTCTCAAAAATAATGTTATCTTCCTTATTTAGAAATAATTTAACTCTAAACTTTCCAATTTACTTCTTTTAGACCCAATTTTCAAAAGTCTCTCTCTTAGACTTTGTGTCCACTCAAACTTTGTCCCCACTCTAACAACGCAGGGGCGGAGCTAGTCCTTCGGATACGGGTTCGGTTGAACCCAGTAACTTTTGTCCAAACCGTGTATTTGTCTTAAAAAATTATTGAATTATGTAAAATTGCTGATTAAGAACCCAATAACTTAAAAGAATTAGAATATTGAACCCACAAGTTTCAAATTCTTGCTCCGCCTCTACTAACTGGGAGTATATTTTTTGATAAGTAATGCAAAATTTTAAAATATTTATGATATTCTTGCTTTAATTTTGTTATGATGCAAAGCATAACTAATTACAAACTAAGATAGAGGAGAAGGGTCGGGATAACTTGTAGTAAGTTGATGGAACAAGTTAAAGGTTTGTAACTTAAATGAGAATTGGGGCGTGCTCACCTAGGCACGGGTTAGATGGAGTTAGATGGACATGAATAGAGCGGAATAGATACAGAGGATTCATATAGCGGACCCAACTAATTGGGATTGAGGTGTAGTTAATTGTGATGCTATGAGAAATAGTTTAGGATGGATAGAGCATATTTCTCATTTTTGGGTTTGTTGACAAAAGGGTATATAGAATTGAAATTTTTGACCATGGTGCTTCTTGGTGGTGCTATGAGTAAAACCACTTGCAGAATCTTTGTTGGGCTACAGAGACTTAGAAATCAATTTGAATTAGCATGTCCAAGTTAGAGTAAAGTAATATGCTGTGCAATAATGATGAAATGCACATTGTGGGGACAATATACGGAGAACCTTGGGTTTTACTTGTCATAAAAGGTTGCTTCTTGTTGCATGTTCTTTCTTGAGTTAGTCGTATACATTTGACTAGAGATATGAAGCCAAGTTTACTTTTCTTATTCTTAAACATTGGTTTCAGTAAACAACTGCTTCATGTGATTCTTCCACTAGAATGGATTTGAATACGTGTGGCCAAGTTCAAGTTAAAGTGACATGCAATGCATTAATAGTTAAATGCACATATCTTGGTTTTTCTTGTCATAAAAAGGATGCTTCTTCTTGGGTGTTCTTTTTTGAGTTAGTCAAATACACTTTGTGACCCGAGAAATGAAGCCAATTTTGCCTTTCTTCTTCTTAAAAATTGGTTTCAGTAAGCTATTCTGTTGTGTGATCCTTCCATTGTGCACTGTCCCTGCTTCATCTTATGTTACTCGATTAAGTGAAAGTCTATGTTGTGCAGACTCTTCAAAATGCTTCCACACCTGTGTCAGATCCTCCAAAAATGCACTACTATTGGAGGATCTGGCACGCACCCGGCGACATTTTCGGAGAGTCCGAGCAACATAGGTGAAAGTTCTGTCTCAGTTTGAGAGCGGGTAGTTCCCATAGTTTGGTTGCTAGCAAATACTATTATTAACTTCTATGTTGGATCTTCCAAATCATGAGAGCACACTTGGAGCATAAGTAGAGTTGTTCCTCTTGTGACCGGTAGGTCACGTGGTTGAGACGTTGAGTATGTACGTGTTTGGATTGCAGAAATGTAAGGAAAAAGGCTGCATATTGTATATGTCCACTCTCCCTTTACTCCTTTGCCGGAGAATACTTTATGCGTGAAGTATGACCTTCAATTCTTTCAAATCATTATGGAACAACTTGTTAAAGGAGCTAATAACATGGTTGCATAGCCTGCAGTAGCCTCATTTGTATTATTAAGGGTCCTCCTTTTGGTTCTTTCTGCCTGTTCTAGTGAGTCTCTTTGGTCTCTAATCTCTACTCACAATTGATAGACGATAACGGGAACTAGTTACTGCAAATCTGCAAATAGTTCCCAGGGTGACCATTTCCTGATATTTTCCCTCCTTTGTCCCAAGCTAACTGTTCAGTTTCTGGTTATGACTTGAACACTAACTTGGAAACCAGACTTTCCCTCTAATCCAGCTCTCAAAAGGGAAAAAAAGAAGAAAAAAACTGTCTTGAACATAGGACATCAATGGTGCCTCTTTAAATGGAAGAAACTCAAAGAGAAACTCCTTATAAAGTCAGAAGAACATACTTATTCGACTATGAATCTTTATTGCACAATCCAGCCACTGGAACTGTGTACTCTTTGGTCGGAAAGATCAATGTTATCTGCTTTTCCTGACTAACTAATGATAGAAGAGCGAGAATAGCATCACTGTCCTCATTGTTACTGATCATCATTCTGCCTCTGCCTGCTGCTGCCACTGCTGGGCTGGTCCGCTTAATAAGGTTTAAAAATCAATTCATTTATGCCCAAAGCGGCCATAGAAAGCTTGTTTCCCGTGCTTAATGTGGCTAGAGAGTAAAGAAGGTTCTGCTAGTACAACACAAAACAGGTGGTCCATATTTCTGATTGAAGGCATTCATGATTTCATTCTATTCTTGATTACTTACCTCACTACATTATGCTTCAGAAGGGGACAGATTAGTATTTGGTTTGATTGCTGCTCGGCATCTGGCAATACCATTCTTCGCTGCTGCCTCTAATCAGCACTCTTTATCATATATCATTTGTTATAAGACACAGTACAAATTGCAAAGGGGAAACATAATGAGAATATTGGATTGGTACTCTATATGTGGAATTTTGATTACAGTGCACATAAGGCACACCGTGCTGAATAAACATCCTCTTTAGTTGGTACTTTATATGTGGAATTTTCATTACAGTGAACATAAGGCACACAGCTGAAATAAACATCCTCTTTAGTCTAGAGCATAAGAAGATCTTCGCAGGAATATATTATCAATGTGTTCTCCAACATGGCTAATTAGTTATAGTAACAGCATTTTACTTTTTGTTTGGATAAATTATACTAACAACATTTTACTGTTATTTGACATATGAATATTTTCTTATAACTTTGTCAAACATCACATGCACAGTGATTCTTGCTTAGAATCTCAACTGCTGTGACCAATTCCTGTCTGCTCCCTGAATATTATAACGGAATCCTCTAAGCAGTGTAAGCATAGTAAATTGCCAATCTTATTAACACTGAAAGACAAATCTGTACCGGTTATTATTTCTGTTGAAATGATTCGCATCTGTTTTTCTCTCCTTTTATGGTTTCACTGATTTTTAGATTATATTTTTCCTTTGAATACTTATAACTGAAATTACTGTGTTGTAGGTTGGTGTGGTAGATGAGCCAGATAGAACAGCTTTAACCGAATCATGGAAATCATGGATGGAAGAGCATATTGCAGCCACCGGAAAGGTCCCACCGGGTAACGAACCAGGAAACTCAACATGGGTACGTCAGCCACCAAAGAAGAAGACTGATCTGAGGTTAACACCAGGTCGTCATGTGCAATTGACATTGCCCTTGGAGGACCTCATTGACCGGCTTGTGAAGGAAAACAAGGTGGTTGCTTTCATAAAAGGGTCAAGAAGTGCACCACAATGTGGATTTTCACAGAGGGTGGTTGCCATGCTTGAAAGTGAAGGTGTCGATTATGAAAGTGTCGATGTACTTGATGAAGAGTACAACTACGGATTGAGGGAGACGTTGAAGAACTATAGTAACTGGCCTACATTTCCACAAATTTTTGTGAAGGGTGAGTTGGTTGGTGGGTGTGATATCTTGACCTCGATGTATGAGAAGGGTGAACTTGCCACCTTGTTCAAAAGCTAAATGTTCAACTAGCAGNACTTGTTCAAAAGCTAAATGTTCAATTAGCAGTAAAGAATGTACCTTTATTGTAAGAGTTGACATGAGATTATATACATCATTGCACTAATTCACTCATCAGTGTATCTGGTGGTCTGGAAATAGTGGAATAGTTGGAAACGAATTCATTGTTTCTGTGTACAAGAGAACTTTGTTATAACTAGCAACTTGGAAATTTTGAGTTTTTTGTGATAAAGAACTCCTATATGGGATCTTCATGTGCTCTGTTGATGTACTTGAAAATGTATTGGATAAGGAAAACAGACAATGGCAGAACTTATACAAGATGGATGAGTGCCCTCTGTAGTTTCTTTTTGAATAATTTTCATGATGGCATTTGTCAAGAAAGCTGCAGATGGAATCATCTTACTGTAAAATGCTTCTTCCTTATATTTACCTTTGAATTCTGATGAGTCAAGTAGTTATATTTTCCAAATCTATGCAGGATGCGGTGAATCTTATAAGTGGCCCCTATATTGTTAACAGGGGCATCCCATCTCCTGTCCAGCATAGTGGATTTGAATCTTGCAGTGTAAATAATATAGTAAGTAGAATATATAAGAGATCCCAAGCAGATACTCCCATCTTTTATTAAGCAGAAAGTTGTCATTTTCCCTTTCAAGTGCATTTAGTGTGCTAATTTATTTTTACTGACTTCCTCTTCACAAATAGCCTCTCTAGTCTCTACTCCTCCGGAGCAGGGTAAGGTTTGCATTTGCGTACTTGAGCAAAAGTAGTCACTAGTCTATTAAAATTAATATGAAAAGACGGTGTTACCCTTTCTTCTATCTCTTTTCCTTCCCAAACCCTCTATCAAAATTTCAAAACCCTTTCTCCCGATCAAAATTTCCCAAACTCCTCTCGTTACTTCTCTTCCCCATGCAGTAAGTTCTTCCCCAACTTATTTGAAAATATCAAAGTTAGTCCTTAATTCCTAATTAGAAGGGCATAATTTCAAAAATTAAGAACACTTGATCCTGAAGTTAGACTTGGAAGTTCAAAAATTAAGGACATGTAGTCCTTAACTTAGAGTTACAAGCACATAAATTAAAGACATGTAGTCCTTAACTTAGAGTTCCAAGTTCAAAAAATAAGGACATGTAGTCCTGAACTTAGAGTTACAAGTTTAAAAGTTAAGGACAGGTAGTCCTAAACTTAGAGTTACAAGCTCAAAAACTAAGGACAGGTAGTCCTTAACTTAGACTTACAAGCTCATAAATTAAGGACAACTAGTCATGAACTTACAGTAACAAGCTCGTAAGTTAAGGACACTTGGTCCTGAACTTAGAGTTGGAAGTTCAAAAATTAAGGATACTTGGTCCTTAATTTGAGCGAAGTTCTCTGCAATCCCAAAAAGGACGTAAATAAGCAGAGAGCATAGGTTTCAGCGAATTATAGAAGAAGAGTATTTTCGTCCGGGCGGATAAAAGTTTATTAAAGCAGTGACTAAAGACTAAAGACATTTTAAACAGTGACTTAAAAGTAAATACATATTTTATTATTACTGAGTAATTGTGCACGCCCCCCGAAGAATGACTAGTGACTTGGAAGCCAATTGTAGGAATATATTCAGCTAGTTTTACTTCTTTCCTCTCCTAATACATTATATATGTCGCGACTTGGAAAATGCAAGTGGCAAGAAAAATGAAAAGCTGATGGATTTTGAAGTGCATTTTTGTCATTCTGAAATAGTAAGTAATCATGCTCAACAACAAGTGGCATGTCGACTGTTTAATCAGCACGATATTTCAACTCTCCTTTGTGAGCCCCAGCCCCAGCCCCAGGCCATCAAATTAGTTGTTGTTAATTAAATGTTTGACACTCTTAGAACATGCAATACAACATTTAGTCTCCTACCTGCAATGTTCCTTTTTTCTTTTCTTTCTTTTTCCAGAGTATGAAATGAAAAGAAATTCTTATGGATGAAATATTGGGCTATTAGTTAATCACATTGAACAAACTGAGTCAGTAATCAAATAACATTAAATTGGAACTATTAATCCAATAACGAAATACCGATAATCCAACAATATTTTTCCTGCACAGAAGCTTAATATCAATGTGTGCTCAAGGGCGGAGCCAAAAACCTATGTAAGGGGTTTCTAAAAAATATTAGAATGTCACACTTTGGATTTGAGGTTTAGAACCTATGATCTAAAATAATTTTTAAACCCCTTTTACCTCTACATTAGAATCTTCTCTTAAAAGAATTCCTTTTTGCCCTGTCTATACCACATAATTTTTCAACTTAGCCTCTTGGCTCTTAAATAAGTGCTACCTGCATAATTGACACTCGTGTAGTCTACCCGATAGCAACGTTACGAGTGCCAAAACATTGCACGAAGACAGCAGCCCATAATATTATATATTCTCATGAGTTACTCCTACTAGAAGAATCAAGAAAATTCTTCACCACCGACCAACATACATACAAATTCCACTACAACGTCAATTTATATTACTGTTGGTTCATTTGAGGCTTTTCTTCAAGGCTGGTTATTACGCCAAGAACAATATTTGAATGAATTTATAATAGCACAAAACACATTTAATGAATCACAAGAGGGTGTTATTTCACGTTTCCTAGCTCATTACCAAGAATACTTTGAAGAAAAATCAAGAATGTCTCATAGAAATGTATTCCACGTGTTTTCTCCTGCATGGTTTACTCCATTAGAAAAAAGTTACTTATGGATTGCAGGGTTTAAACCGGCTTTAGCTTTTTCCTTGGTAATGAATTCCGTAGATGATTTGAGAGAATTAATGGGCTGAAATTTGAAACAAGGGTCCAAGAGAAGAATCTTATTGATGAGTTGGCCAAAATTCAAGAAAGTGTGACAGCCCCTGATAGGTATTGAATCGTATTGTTTAAATATTTAGATAAAATATACTTTTTGACTTTGGTCCTAGGACATCTTATCATTTTATTTAAAAGTTTAAACCGTTAGATATTAAATTATTTAATTATATTATGTCGTAGGTGGAGAAATATGACAAGTGGATAAAAATATAAAGACACTAAGATCAGCTCTGGAAAATATGATTACAGATGCAGATAGATTAAGGGCAAAAACAGCAGAGAGGGTGGTAGGGATATTAAATCCTTTTCAGAGTTTGAGGTTTTTGACAGCTGCAGCACAACTTCAGTTGAGAATAAGGAAGTTGGGAATGCAGAGAGGCAGCAAACGCAGACTTCAGATTAATATTTGTAAGATAAAGATTTTATTTGTTATATCAATATTAGGCTTATTTTGTAGCAGTAGGCTATGTTCTACGGGCTCTTCAATGTTACTTGGTTTGTGTCGATTCTCGAAAAAGACACGAGTACAACGACATTTTTGAAGTTTGAGAAAAGTTGGAGCAATACACATAGGTAATACTCGAGTGAATGTTTTACCATCTTGCTTTTATAAGAGGCTACTTTCTTGTTTTAATTGGCTCTATTTGTCTTTTTCATAGGAGTTTATACCTTGTTACTTTTATTAGATGTAAACTTTTTGAAGTATTTGGATTGTGTTTTAACTGCCTCTATATAGCTTGTCTTTTTCCTAGTAGTTTTTAAAGAAAGTGAAGACATCACTGCCCAGCAGGACAAGAGGAGTATTTGTTTGAGGCAGACCTCATTAACACTCCAAGTTTATCTTTACGCAGCCTTTTCCGAACCCTATATATATAAATGCGACTTTTCCCTGTATATATAAACGCGAAGTGCTTACGAGTGAATTGAACAAGTCATACAATGGGGAGAGGCGAATACATGATTTTAGGATAAGTAACCAATCAAGTGATGGACCACAAACAAATCGTTGTCTCTTCTTCGTGCGACATTGTTGTTTGTTATTTGCGCAACTATAAAATTATAACAAATCAACATTGAGAAGATATTTTTTATACATCAAAGGTCCCTATTTACACCGACTGAAACATACAAGATATAACAAGGGGAAAAAACATAATCTGCTTGGATAGAATCCTAACCAAGTATGGCAAATTCATTCAATGACTACCTGCCTTTCTTGGTCCATTGTCAAAGTGCAACATTATAATACCCTTTGATGCTTGTGGTTTGTGAATACATATGCTCAAACAGTTATTGCTTTCTTTCTAATTTTTATGAAAAGAGTAGGGGCAGAGGATTTATGTTCTTGTTCATATGCTTTTTTACTCTAACCAACTTTTTTCCTTTGTTACTTCGCCAACCTTCTTTCTTCAACCCTGAAAAAAGGAAGGATTCAGAATGTGAAAAGGAGAGAATCAAATTAAGTATGTTATACTAATGAACATCAACAGTTAATATGAATTAAACAAAATCTTAATTTTTAGTAATCAGATTTTCTGTAAGGAACAATAAAATAAAATATGTTCACCGATTTAGGAAGAACACGTTTATTTCTATTTAATTTCGTATGGGGCCAAAAAACGAAAATAAGTATCAATTCCCACTAATCTATAAGATAAGATCTACAACAGAGAAAACAATTTCAGTTCAATAAATTACATTTGAGAAGGATATATAAAATGGTGAAAAGGACAAACAATATCTATTTTACATTCAAGAGAATTTTCGAGGAAAAAAATAACAATTAAAGGCAACCAATGATTCAAAGAGCCATAACATTCACGGCCATGGGTCAAAACAAAGCCTATAGTATCCCCAATAATTTCATCTCCATCAAAGAAGTGAAAAACTCAAATCTTACAGTTACCACATTATAGGAGTTTTTCCTAATTTGAGATCCAAGAGTATGGAGTACTATTATTTATAGGCTGACAAAAAAATTAGAAGCAAACAAATCCGTGGAAAGTGGGAGAATACATGGACTAACAACAACAATAGACATGAAAATCGAAATCCAGTGCATGCGATGATATGATTACAAACGAAACACAAAATGAAGCAGCAAATATTGATAAATATTTAACCAATTGAAAAGAAAATCAACAAAAGGACACCCAAAAAAAAAGAAGGAAAACAGGGCAGCATAAACTGACCTCGCTTAATGTAGTCAACTGGGTCTTTGCTTGATTTCTTTGTTACATTTATATTCGACTCAAATTTGATAGTTTTCATTTCAAGTTGTCAATAGAGAATTAGGCAGAGAGCTTTTGGAGTTTTCTTTTGTGTGATAGAAAATCTATCTATTATTAAAAGGAAAAAAGTCATCAATGAGACTTTGCCAAGTGTTGCGTGAAAAAAATGCCATGTGTCAATTTTAAGCCAAAAATAGTTAAGTTAGGTAAAATTAGTTTTTCTTCTATTTAAATTTCAAAATAATAAAATATCTATCTATTATTAAAAGGAAAAAAGTCATCAATGAGACTTTGCCAAGTGTTGCGTGAAAAAAATGCCATGTGTCAATTTTAAGCCAAAAATAGTTAAGTTAGGTAAAATTAGTTTTTCTTCTATTTAAATTTCAAAATAATAAAATATCTATATTTTTAATCAAACAATAATTTTAAATTGGGAAGTTACTGATGTAACTCCCTTCCTGCGCGTATTTGCCCTAAAAATTATCAATTTCCTTCAAGCATCTCAACTCCTAAACCACCAATGTTTCTGCCCAGGATTCTCAGAAGCATCATCATTGTCTTTATTTTGATTCACACTTTCCTTCAGAAAAGTTCCATCTCTTTCCTGGTAAGAAAATCAATCCATCTCTTTGATGATCCATCGATCTTCTATTTCAATCCATTTCATCGGCATAGTTATCCTTTTTTATATATATATTTTGAGACGTATTTACGATTTGAAATTGTGGATGCACCAGTTTATTTATATATATATATATTTGGACTCATGACCCTCGAATGCTCCTAATCGTATCTTTTTCACATTTAAAGTATACTTTTTATCTGTATAAAAAAATATTAGGATCTAGGTGCCATCCGCATAAGAGATATCATGCCTCTATGCGTCTTAAAAAAAATAGAATAATGATTAAATTAAAATAAGAAGCTTGAAATATTAAGTCGGATATACATGTGTGCATGTATTCTTTTTGTTGTTTAGAAATCACGTTCATAGGCAATAACATACCGCCTACAAGTTATTGAGAATTTTTAGGATTGGCCACTGTGGGGTAAAACAAGTATTCTGCAGAAGTATTATTATGGAAGAAAGGATTTTACCAATATTTAGATATCATGCCTATAAGATTGAAATATTGCTTGAGCTAGCAAAAAATACAGATTATTCTTTTACTACGAAGTATTGGTACGAGCCTATATAGTATATATTCATGTTTAGAGACCCTGATTGTTGACTTTTAACTTCATAACTTATATATCATATTTATAAGAATCGCTGCTTCTAAATATTTATTTGAAGAGAGTAAATCTACTTTATACTCATCATGATGCTTGCAACCTTTATAAAAAATATTATGTTTAACCAATGCAATTTGGAGTTTATGATTATAAGCCTAGCTTTCTGCTTTATTCAATTAGGTGTTAAAAGAGGATTTTTTTTTTTTGTTAGTACTGTAACTTTAAAACCTTTTTCCGAAGGATATGGAAATCATGTTAGAAGGCAAGCCTTGATTTATTAACTGTTGAAAATATAGTTGGACTTATCTGAACTCTAAAAGTTTTGCTGCTATTGAAAATCAATGTGTTTACAGATGAATAACATTCATTTTGCTAAGCCAAAAGTTTAAGCTTCAGTAGTGTTTAGTTGTAATGGTAAGTGTAGTACTTTGAAGTTTTGAACAATTTTAAAGAATTGACGAATGAGGCAAAAAGCTTTTTATTTATATACTTTTTGTTTATACTTTACTTAGTTTTAGCGACTTAAAAATTCCATATTTTAGAGAAAGTGCTTTTATCGAAAATGACGGAAAATAATCGGTATGGGTAATCCTTATTTTTCACTTAAAAAGGTCGTTGGAGGTATTTTTTTAATAGTTAAACTATGTTTTTTTTTTCATGTTACTTTATTTTATGCATGTTTTCTCTACTGACTATTTCTTATTATGTCATGTTAGTACTTAATGCTCAGTCTTTTGAGAGATTTTCATTTGGTGAGACTAGCATGACAAGTTCAAGCTGCAATAACAGGATGATGGAGTTGAGCTAATGTTATATTAATTCTATCAAGACTTGGTCGATGATTTTGTCCTCAAGAAAATAGAGAATTTATGTAATTTATTTTTGCATTAAACCATTGATTAGAAATTGAACATTGAAAATGTATTTGTTGATTATTGCGAAAATGGGAATGCCCTGTTTTGGATCTCAAGTATACTTTCAGGGATGATTTTTCCAATTCATTTTTCTTCAGCCATCATATTTGATATTGCACAAGTGCTATTTGCTATATGTGGGGCTACTTTAAAGTACGGGATGAGATTAGGGTTAAAGAAAATATGTGGTTTATGTTGGAGCTGCTTAAAATATGAGCTGGGGCGCCTTGATTAAGCTTCGTTTGGGACTGGAGCTGAAATTAGATTTAAAGTAAATGTGATATTTTTTATTGTAGCCCTTTTAAGTGATGTACTTATGACATATTTTTCTCTTTTAAGGCCTTAGTGATATTTTCATCTATTAGTTTTTTGCTTTAATTTTTTTGAATGCGCTCCGTAAATTTAGTCTGTAATATACATCGGTTTCTATTATCTCTCACCGCACTTTTTTTATTTGTAATGATTCTGCGCAACGTGCAGGTACATATACTAGTTTTGGTGAAAGAGAGAAAAGTTGCACTCCTTATACAATTACTGAAGAGGGCTCAGACTTAAATTTACTGAAGCCTTAAAGGCGCAACTAGAGGTTTTGACCAATATTGTTTCTTATCTTTGAGGTGAGGGTAGGTCTATTTTGGTCCTTTAAATATAATCCTGAGCATATTTAGTCCCTTAAATATGTTAAAGTGGAGCATCTTTAATCTTACTGACAGAGATTTTGATCAATATTGTCTCTTATCTTTGAGGGTAGGTCTATTTTGGTCCATCAAATATAACCCTGAGCATATTTAGTCCCTTAAGTATACTAAAGTGGAGCACCTTTAGTCTCACTTACACAATATATTCAAAAAGTAATGGTGTTACCCAACTCTGATTCATGAAGCAAATCTTCTGCTCTAAAGCAAAATGTTTCCTCTCATTTTATTGGATAACGTAAATTATCACTTTAATTTCTCATTTTTAGATAATGTTTTCTAAAATTTTGATCTTGAAAATATCCTATTCTGTGCCAGTGTTCAATGAGAAAATGACACTGTATAGCCGCCGTTAAAATAATAGCCGAAAAAATGTATAAAATTTGTAAATTATTTTGTGTATATTTAAAAATTTCGGTTGATTTTTCCAAAAAAATAAGTTAAAATTTGAAAAAAATAGAGCTGCCATGATCACTTCTAAGCATATTATTGAAGCAAACGAATAACCAGATTGTATTATCATTTTTAGCCCGTGCCAAATTTACATCTGGTAGCGAAATAAGTATATAAAGTTTGTATATTTTTTGTATATTAACATACAAAAAAAAATAAAAAGAAATATATATATATATACAAAATATACAAATTTTATATATTTTTCGGCTATTATTTTTATAGCGGTCATACAGTAACATTTTCTCATTGAAAACTGCCACAAAAGGAGATATTTTCAAGGTCGAAATTTTAGAAGACATTATCTAAAAATGAGAAATTAAAGTGATAATTTGCGTTATCCAATAAAAAAAGAGGCAACTTTTGCTTCAGAGCAGAAGATTTGCTTCATGAATCAGAGTTGGGTAACACCATTAGTTTTTGAACACATTGTGTCAGTGAGACTAAAGATGCTCCACTTTAACATACTTAAGAGACTAAATATGCTCAGGACTATATTTGAGGGACCAAAATAGACCTACACTCAAAGATAAGGGACATTATTGATCAAAACCTCGCACAGCTACAGTAATAAACGTCAGAACCAGGAGCAGATAGTAAGAAGTTGCACAACAGCTGGAGTCAACGAAATTCCAGAAATACCCTTCATCGTATTTGTATACTAGTTTTCTATCATTAAATTAACATACTGATGCCCTTTGTCCTTGGCCTTTTCTTAATTTGCACTGTTGAAGGATATATTTGACTAAATCCACGCGTCATTCAAATAAGCGGGATAAATGACTACATTCAAATAATTTGGTTGGGTGCATATACTAAGACCACTAACCTTCATAGATAAATCTAAAAAAAAAAAATTATTTGTTTATCCGTAAAATGATACAGTTGAATTTATACGTGATTTTTGTTTGCCTGTAAAACGATACAGTTAAATTTATATGTGGTTTCTAGACAAGTGAACTAATTTGATCCTTAAATAATATAATAATCGAAGAAATACACAATATTTAGCCTTAGAATGTAGATAAAATAGCAAAGATAGTGATTCCGTGAACACGGTTTTCGAACACAGCAATGATGAGATCAAAAAGCAAGAGAGTGAAATTGTATAAAGTTTTGTATAGAATATAATATATGTTCTTGCCAGAAATTTTGTGTCCCTTACAATGATAACTGAGCTCACTATTTATAGTTATGTCTAGGGAAGAAGGTCGCCCTCCTTTAATGTCAATTATGAGGGCCATTGATGAAGATGTAACGTTGAGCGTAAATGCTAAATTCTTTGTAACGGACTGTCGCTCTTGATGCTGTAGAATATTCCTTAATAAATGCTACCGGGCGTAGAGCATTTAATACACTTTTATGAACATTATTCGTTCCGGTGACAAGCGCAGTGGCTGTGTTCGGTCCTCAGCCATTCCATCTTGGATTCCACGTCTCCTCCTTTTAGTCAGCCACGCGTCATATCATATTTTACCCTATACAGATAGTCTCCCTGCTTTTCGGTGACATAACTTTGTGTTACCGGAAAGTTGGTAGAGACGCCTTTTTGGTAGGAATAACTATAATTCCCTCTAAAGGTCTATGATAGTTGATTAGACGCACGTCTCTCCGTATTTAATGCCCCGAACACGCGTTATCCCATGATTCAGCACAGCTTTAGCCGGTTATCAAGGTAATCATGGCCATGAATTTAGCTGCCAAAATTTTACTTATATGCAACTTTCTTTTCCTTTGCGTTTCACAATTGCTTGAGCTTCTAATTTGCATTCTTGTTTTCCATCCTTTTTCT